AATAATAATAATAATAATAATAATAATAATAGAAAAACGCCTTATTTACTTTGGGAGAGAAAATTGGGGTCGGACCCACTTAAAAAACGCCTTACGACTCAGAAAGGGCAAAGATTATAAGTCTCCCTATAGAGATGCAAATCTAAACCTAAGGAAACTATGTACTCAGTGTGCAGCCGTGTATGGGAGGGCAAGGGCTCCGTTGTTTGCTCATTTTGGCCCTTTGTCAGTGTTTGCAAGCTTTGGCCGTCACGCTTATTTCCATTCCCAGCAACATCTAAATTGCTCCCTTAGGGCCTGGCAATTCCCCAGCCGCAATCTGATCTGGTATATGAGCCTGCAGCATCCCATCTTCTCCCAAATACTCGTCCCGTAAGTACAATTTCAACCCCTCCCATCCCAGACTCTAAATATTATCCCAGATACTAAATGCAGACTTGAACGGAATCCGCCACTTCCACCAAATCGAGTCCTCAGCCTCATTTACTTCCGCCTGTCCAGGGATAAACACCTCCTCCTCCCTTTCTTCCAACAGCTCCACCCAGGATGATTTCTTCATGTGATGATGCATGACTATTGTGTTTCAGTAGGAGATCTGTCATCTAGGACAGCAATCCGCCTACGACTTAGACTGCTTGCATGGTGGCGCCTGAGCAAGAGACGGAGAGGATGTTGGTTTAAAAGTGGGAGGAGAAAATAGACAGGGAGTATTTATCATGCCGCGTCCAATTAAGAGCTCTAAGGATGGCTGAGATGGGGGCGGGAGGCTGTAGCTTAGGAATCGGGGATCGGGAAGTAAATAACCCGGACCACACGAGGCTACTACAGGTATAAAGGATTTCAATTGGCCGAAAAGGGGTAATGTATTGATAGCTATAGCCTATTTCCCACACCCTATGGTCGTGTGTACCAGTTCCTTGGTAAAGCGAGAATATATGGGGCGAGCCTGAGTGCACAATACAGAGGGTGAGCCATCACTTAACATGTTACAGCAACTAATCATTGGCTGTCCTCTTTTGGTTCAAAACACCAAACTACTTGACATCTGCACATAACCATAAAAATCTCTTCTCCCTTGATTCGATATTCTAATTTCAACCGAGCCGAGTACCCTCATACCTATATTTAATGCCCTGTAAGTTCAGTCATACTCAAATAACTACTTTTTCCAAGTCCCTGCACTATATCCAAATATTCACTTTCTTAATACGCCACGGTATGTGCTGCTGGAGTCAACTTGACTCGAAGCTCTGGCTTTTCCCATACCACAAATGATAGTTGATCAATCCAACCCTGGGACTCTGGAGCAAGCTCCATATCGAAATTCCAAATCACCCGTGCGATTATTAGCCGCATCTCTGCATAAGCTAAGCTATTCCGGACGAATCAGTCGTTTTACCATAAAAAAGCTAACAAAAAAGGGATAGAACATACTTGCGGCCGAGGCAATTCCGGGGTCCTAGACTGAATGGTTGAAGAGCATGTCTTTTGTCCAAGTCAAACTCAGGATCGCCCAAAAATCTTTCTGGAATGAAAGAGTTGGGCTTTTTGAAATTAAGCGAAGATCGTTGCGTCGCCAGCATTGGGACTCCGACAGATGTCTGAATGCAGCTCTTAGCTATGTGCATTTATATTAAAGGGATTTGCTTGGTGAGATCTTACCCCACCCGGGATCCATTTCCCACAAATATAGTCACCTTCACCCTCAACCATACGCGGGAAACCGAACGGAACAGGTGGATACATGCGCAGGCCCTCGTTCAAAACAGCCAGCGTATATTTCAGTTGGTTGACAGCAGACCAGGTAATCTGCTCCTCGGACGAGAATGAACCTCGAATTTCTGCTTTCAACTTGTCGAAAACGCCTGGTACGGTCAGGATATAATATGTCACTCCAGACAGCAGGGTGGCGGTGGTCTCTGATCCCGCGATAATTAGCACGTATGAATTCGCGACCAGCTCATCGAGAGTCATCCCCTTCTCACTGACACCGTGCTTGAGGACGTTGCTCAGGAAGTCTGGTCTGTCGCTGCCCTTTTGAATCCGCGACTGCACTTTGGCTTCCGTCAGCTGATTTTGGGCTCTTTTCTGGTTCTGCACCTTTTTGGGAACAATGTATCTCATCATCCAGTGCCCGCCCGGAATTCGTCTGAGTACATTTGCCCATGTTGCGGTACGGAAGTGGCTAAATATCACCGACACCCAAAAATGATACTCAGACGTATCCAAACAGCCGAATGATTCGCCAAAGGCAAGATCACCGATAATATCAAACGTGGTAAAGTTATACCACCGAATTATATCCGCCATCGTGCTACCATTGCCCTTTATTATTTGTTCGCGCAGTCGTTGAACCAAGAGGTCGATATAGCCTTTGACAATGGGTTCTTGTTTCTGAAGACTACCTTCAGAGAAACCATGGGCCAGAGAACGTCGATAGCGACCATGGTTATAATCATCGGTGCGAAGGATACTCGGCGTGCTATTGGGTCCCACGGAGACATGACGCTGGTCTTTTGGTCGTTGCGGATGGCCAGGACGCAAGCCGTAAACCTCTTTCCATGCTTCTGGGTTTGTGATCGTAATTTGATCCGGACTGATGCGAACGATTTCGCCGTATTGTTCGTGAAGTTCATGTACTTCCATGGGAAGCTTTCCACGCAACACCATACGGGCAAAGAACACTGACGATGCTGCATACAGCTTTGGGCCCGGAACGGAAGCCAGAGGGTGAAAAAAGATGTTGTAAATAATTTTCCCGAAATGGTAGCAGATGTACTAATGCTTTTAGCATCATAAAAGATATCAAGACAGGTAGGGATGACCAACGAGCAACAATAATGTTCCAGGCAGGACAATTTCCGGACGATATCCAAGCACTCTAGGAATAACAAGATATGGACTGCTTTCCACGAGTACGGCCATGATTGTTAAATGTTTGATTATTCAATTTTCGTGAACACAAAGTGGATCTTCGAACATATAAATTATTGGCAACAGGGCAGGGTATTGTATTCTGGGCTCCAAACTAACTGCAGGAAAAAGACATTTTATGTCAGACTGGCTATCATGGAATTTTGTGAACTATGCGACTTTCTATGGAAAAATCTGACAATTCACCGAGTGTAGGCTTGTGATAGCGCTGTGCATGTCCCATTACTTGATTCGGAATTTTGATACTATAAAATTCCGAATTTGTACTGTTAAGCGCACGTACCGACGGAACAGTCAACAACGGAAATATTAAGATGTATGCACGTGAACTGAATTAATATATTGCTTCTGAACTCCATATTGTTGTTTATACACCCTAAGTATCAGTCTGCTACCACCAAATCGTTTCATATTCATTTTGCTACAAGCAGACAAGATGCCAGTCTACCGGTCCAAGACATGGGTCAATATCCCAGACGATCTATCCATTTCCCAGCTTATGCAAGACAATATCTCCGATACGCCCCCGAACAAAATCATCTATGAAGAAGCCCATACCGGCAAGATTGCGACATACGGGACATTTCATCGGCAGATCCGGCGCACGGCATGTCTCCTTCAACAAAGATTGCATTTCCAACCAGGCCAGATCGTTGCCATATCCGCATCGTCCTCAATCGATTACATTCTTGTTGCACAGGCCATCTGGTGGGCCGGAGGGATTATCAGTCCTATCAATAACACATTGCACCCGGATGAGCTGCGGCGAGCTATTGAGCTCATCAAGCCAAGATATCTCGTGATAGATGAGAGCGTCCATGATAAGGCCCAAGCTATTACCGAGAAATGCACGAATGCACCACGTATTCTGACAATTGGTAAACGACCGCGCGGGTCGATTTGGCCATCGTTTCCGATTGACCAGTCCCCCTCTATTGACAACGAGCCTGAGCTTCTTGACCCTACTCCCGTGAATCCAAAGGACTGCGCTGCTATCCTTCTCTCCAGCGGTACAACTGGTCACTCCAAAGCTGTCATGCTCTCTCACCGAAACCTTGTTGCAACATGTTATCAACTCCGATATGATAATCCACAAAATTGGCGAGGCAGTCAGCGAGAGGTTTTTTTCCCGCCCCTGTCCCACGTTTATGCGCTTTATGTCTGCTTTACCATGTGTTGTTGGTTGGGGGCGTATGTCTGCCTGATGCCGCGCTTCGACTTAGAGCTGTATTGTCAAATGATGCAGGATCGAAAGGTGACGCTGGCGAGAGTTGTGCCTCCGGTGGCCAAGCTTTTGGCGGAGGAGAAGGTTGTCAGGAAGTATAAATACCCTTGTCTAGAATATTTTAGCTGCTCGGCTGCCCCGTTGCATGTACGTCCCCTGCTGGCGAGAGGAAAAAAAAAGTAAACAAAATGAAAGCTAACCAAATATTCCAGGAGCATACTGCGACAAAGCTCCGCGAGACATTCCCAGGTGTGGCCTTGTGTCAGAGTAAGTTGTGATATGGAATGCCAATACTATTTGTGCTGACAATATCGCCCAGCGTACGGCTGCACTGAGCTTTCCGGGCCCTGTGCTCAAAGTGGAGTGCGTGATTCCAATCTTTCTTTATCTGCAGCTGGCTCGCTCGTTGCCAACAGTGAGCTTCGATTTCTCGATCCCGAAGGTAAAGACGTTGGGGCGCGAGGCCCGGGAGAAATCACTTGCAGGGGCCCAAATGTGATGATGTAAGTTCTTCATATAGTTATCTATTTCAGGATCTCTTGACTCAAGTTGTGTGATAGGGGTTACAAAGACAATGAACAAGAAACCGCCAAAACTATATCCGCAGATGGATGGCTACGGACGGGCGATCTGGGTTATTTAGACGACAATGCCTACCTTTACATATACGACCGAATCAAAGACCTGATTAAATACAAAGGGTGAGTACATTGTATTGTATCACGGCCGCTTTACCTGGTGCTCACACACTTTACGAAGATTCCAAGTGGCACCGTCCGAAATTGAGAGCATCCTCATTCAGCACCCTCTTGTCCGCGAAGCTGCCGTCATTGGCGTTTTTAGTGCAGACGAGGCCACCGAGATTCCCCGTGGGTTTGTTTCGCTCAAGGATGTCATCCGGTCAGAGCAGAGAGCCTGGGTTTCGAGTTCGATTGATAAATTCCTTGCAGAGCGGGTTTCCAATTACAAACGATTAAGAGGTGGTGTGGTTATTGTGGACGAGCTGCCTAGAAATCCAACGGGAAAGGTTTTGAAGAAGGTATTGAAGGAGAAATATGGAGATTTATCAATCCCTGAAAGAGGCAAGCTTACTGCTAAGCTTTGAGTCTTCATGCCGGGATAGGACCGGAAATTAGTTCTTAGTATTGTGCATTAGCATGTTCTTTATAGCTCTTTAATCTGAAGCTCCACCAAGATCATAGTGCAACATATCCCATAATTCCAAGCCAGATCCTATATCGGGCAGTATTTGGTCCTGGGTGTCATTATATTGAAAGTCCTCCGCTGTGCCGTCAAAAAACGCAAATAGCGACGTATCTTCAAGTGAACCATAATGCTGCTGAGTGGTATTGTCGCTGTGTGAAGCGCCAATATTAATGGGATCGATTGTGTTTAACAGCTCGTTATTGCTCTGGTCAACATTACATGTGTGCGTATCGTGGACATTGTTGGCATTATGTCTCGGAGCAGACATGGCCAAACCCAATGCACGGATTGCCCGTTTTGCTGTATTTAGGGTTCGAGAGAAGCGTACAAGGAGCTGATATGACCGCTTCAGGGAATCCACGCCGGAAGTGCGCTCTGCTTCGGGAGGGTTGCGTTGAATCGCGAAAATCAGGTGATAAATACATTCGACAAGTGCTGTACTGAAGAAAAACCCACACGGCTCGATATTAGCGATGCTATCTGTAAATGCAGCAATAGCATCAATTACTTGAGACGCAAGTGAAACACAAAGGTTCTGAGACAGGGAATTCTGGTCTGTCTTGTGAAGCGGATTCTGTCGAATGGTCAAACGCAGCAGGTTGAGTCTCTGCGGTGGCATGGATTAGTATCAAACATGGCCCAAGTGATATAGCAAAGTGAAAGCTACTTACTATAAAAATAGACAGTCGGCGACGAATTTGAGGCTCCGTCTCTCCCTGAAAGATATAAGTATTATCGAGTAGAGCTGTGTTCCATGTTAATTCGCCCGGAAGTTCACGTTGAGCAACCAGAATCCGTGTGTTCATGACTTCGATTTCCCTGCTGTCTGCCGGTTTAGGTGCAGCTGTGGAGAAGAAGCTATCCCAAATCTTTGTCCACAGCTTTGCCAGGTTGGCTAATGCCTGGATATAATTTTGAGTCCGGACCCTGGGAGACGCCAGCGGCAACCCAAAATTAAACTCGGAGACAGCCATCTCATTTTCCCTAATGCAATACGGCCCGCCAATACGTTGCGCAATCTTGCGATCGAGGAAGTAAACTACCCACCAAAGTGTTTTACGGTCGTGGACTTCGTGCTCTGGCAGTTGCTTCCACGCTCGTTGGTCATTCAGCCGGACCAACATTGCGAGTTGCGCGGCATTTGAGATGGTCTGCGATGCGGCCTGGAGCATCTCCGACTGCATGAGGTATTCTGCACCAAGTGCATGGTACCGGATTAGATCAAGATCAACGTATTTGTGGGACGAGCAGTATTGTAGCACTTTGCGGCCCCAGACAAACATGGACCATCCCGGCCGCACATCAGCTGGCTGTCGTTTTAATGCACAAAAGCACTCGGCTACCGCAAGCATGTTGCAGAGCAGGGCGATGGTGGAATGGCATTGGAAGTCAACGTCCACTATATGTTGGTGTTCTCCATATCCGATCCTCGTCAACGCCTGCAAGATCCGTACTTCCGTCCGTTCTTTTTCGATAAAGGGAAAGTATGAGTCCACATCGCGGAAGTATACGTTCAGAAGCGTTTTGAGCCGAGTCAAAGGCGGCAGCTCAACCGCAACGACTCGACGGAGCAGGGGAGGAGGCCTTGAGGAACTTGCTGTTGGCATTTGTTGTTTCTGATCCAAACTAATCAAGTCTCGCAGAGATTGGAGCTGTGAAGCTAATGAAATACTTCGTGGCCGTGTTTCTAGTACGTCATAGGCATCGGTTTCTTCTTCGTCCAACGCTTCTGGAATGATCGCTTCATCTATTGTCGGAGACAAGGAGGCGCAGATGTCACTGTAAAGTCCCATCTATTATCAGTTTCAACAGAGCGCACGATGTTTGTACATTGTAAGAGATGTACCTGATCCTGTCCGCATCGTTCGGGGAGTCGGGATTGTTTCTGATTTCTCTCAATGGCTGCTGAGGAGAAACTTGCCTCGCTTCAACAGGTACGCTGCATATTTCATCAATACAGATTTTATCACGCGAATTAATTCTAGCTTTTCATACCGGACTTCTTTTCGTTGTCTCCTTCCCCTCCGAGCTCCCCGTGTGTAAATACACGGCGTGCCCCTTGCCCTACAATGGTTGCAAAGATCATCTCCGGAACACTATCCCCCAAGATTTCGGTGAGTGAAACTGCCAAGATATATTTTCCAAGCATCCGATCTCGGTTGATCATACCTTGACCTTACGACGCTGGCAGTCCTGGCTGTTTTCCGGTTAGCGTGGGTTCAATAAGCGAGACAGCATCAAGTTCTGAGACTCACCAGGCTCGTGCGATATACTTGGTTCTTTTTGCTTGCCGTGCTCTTGGGTTGTTTTCGACAGGATCTGGTAAGTTGTCGGTATTTATGTCTCGAGTCAATTGGTGTAGAGGATCCGTGTGAGAGTTTTCAGCAGAGTCCTGGCTCCGGAGTAAAGCATGAAGAACATTTGACATTTTCTTCTTCGGTTGCTGTTATTTGCTTGGACTAGTTGAAGTTCCCAAAAATAGTTGAACTCACACCGGTGTTTTCAACCGTTGAGAATAGGATTGCCGAGGGAAAATGCGGGGAAGCCGTGAAGTCCTTTTTATAGATGATCGGCCGGAACATACATACTTATCGCTAAATGCATAAATCGGATTGGATGAAATTGAATGATAGTAGCTAACTATAGAATATAGACATATAATGTTTCTGTGGTTTATCATTTTCTACTGTCTACATAAATCGGCCTCCTGTACATTCAATGCATGTGCCGGTCACATATGATGACAACGGACTGGCTAGAAACAGCATCACCTTCGCAGCTTCATGAGCCGTTCCTGGTCTTGCTAGAGGAATATCAGACACATCACGCCACTTCTTTGCTTTTAGCGGAATCCCAGGGCGAATAGACTGTCCGTCCAATTCCAGCACTTCGGATTCAGTGGGAGGTCGAGTGATACGGGTATCGATCCAGCCGTACGCTATAGCGTTCACACGGACATTATATCTACGGATCCATTTAGTATATACTTTGAGAATATGAAATTGACAGCAGTAAGGACTTACCGACTCCATTCAGCAGCAATGGTCTTGGTAAGTCCCACGACTCCGGCTTTTGCTGTCGCATAGTTGATCTGGCCCATGGATCCATGCAGACCAGAGGTGGAAGAGACGTTGATGATGGTCTTGGGTAAATCTTTGTTTCGAGGGTTCATCCAGTATGATGACAGCGCGCGGGTCATCTGGAAAGGGACATAATTGTGCATCTTCATGATGATGTCGAACTTTTCATCGGACATCTTGTGAATGGCACTGTCATGGCAGAATCCTGTACCAGACTCACATCAGCCCAACTATTTTGTGTAAAGGAATACTATCAGTCCATCATAAAATACCAGCATTATTAATTAAGCCATTGATCTTGTCGTATTTGCGCAGGACATTGTCAACCAACTTCTGGGGAAACCCTTCCTCCAACACATTGCCGACAAAAGAATCGGCTTTTCGGCCCTGCTGGCGGATCTCATCAACCACCTCTTGAGCCTTATCATTGTCCAAATCGTTTATAGCGACAGTGGCACCCTGCTGGCTCAGAAGGAGAGCAGCTGCTTTACCAATACCTGGTTAAATGGATTGTCAGAAGCTTGAAACATGTATGCTGATCAACAATGATTGTACCTTGTGCACCCCCGGTCACAATAATGACATGGCCATCAATTCGGCTTGGGTCTGTCACTCCTTCTAGATGTTGACAAACTTGATTGAGCCTGTCGCTGGCCATATTGATTACTCCGGCCTTGTTGGATTTGTACATGCCGTATTCAGTCATGGGATAACGTTTTTATTGCCTGTATTATCGTCTGGAAAATTTATGTCAACACCTTAATTCCGGTGAGAATGTATTCCGAGATTCATAATCGGCTTTCTTGCGAATTATGGTGAATGGTAAATACCGATTCGGAATTTTCCCACTTTCGGAATAAATGATGCTGCATATTTCGGAATATAGACATCGGCCCCGAGTTGCTATTATACAGATTCATGAGCGTGAGAATACTTAACCAAGCCCAGTTAGCTATTCTGTGAGATGATAATTTGACACAAAACGAACTCAATTTTCATCAGATATCCGACAGTTGAACAACTTAACAATGCAAGCTCTTGCATCAGACATCCCCGGTGCAGACCCATCATGGCACCATCGACAGGACCACCCTTATTACAAACCCAGCCATCATCGATTGCAGCGCTTTGTGCGCGAATACGTGGATACCGAAATTGCTCCTAACGTGGAAGAATGGGAGAGACAGGGTGATATCCCGGAGACTGTACGTTCAACTTCCAACCCAACCCATGAGTTAATCATAACACGAAATCGAATAGGCATTCAAACGACACGCAGAATTAGGGTTTTTAGCTGCGTCGGCTTTCCCCATACCTCGGGATTTTGTTCAGGGTGTGACTTTGCCGGCAGGGCTGAGCGTCGATGGTATTGATGATACACCCTTGCTCGTGATCATGCGCTGACGGTTGAATGAAGAATGGGATGAATTTCATGATGCTATTGTAAGTTATTGTATTAATCATTCAATGAAATTCTGCTAAATCCAAGTAGGTCATCGATGAAATGGCCCGATGTGGTTGTCTAGGCACGGTTTGGGGCATCAACGGCGGCGCGTCCGTTGGCGGACCTCCCATTGATCGATACGGGACAGAATCACAGAAGCAAAAGTATCTCGCTCCGCTGCTACAAGGGCTACAGAGACACTGCTTGTGTGTGACCGAACCAGCTGGTAAGCATGCATGCCCAGACTGCATGGGATCTAGTTAACAGCTACAACAGTCGGCTCCGATGTGGCTGGATTAACCATGACTGCAGCTAAAACTCTAGGTGGCAGCAGCTACATGCTCAATGGAGAGAAGAAGTGGATCACTCAGGGTCGCTGGGCGGATCATGGCTTGGTAGCAGCAAGAACTGGCCCTAGCGGTGCCAAAGGAATTTCGATGTTCATTGTGCCTTTGAATACGAAGGGCATTTCAAGACGCAAGATGGAGAACTCAGGAGTCAGCTCAAGCGGTACGGTATCTTCCTGGATTATTAGTTTGAAGAGGAAGCAATTGCAACTAATTAGATATACGTGACAGGTTCGACATTTCTAGAATTCGACGAAGTACATGTTCCCTCCGAGAACCTCTTGGGAAGAGAGAACCAGGGTTTCGAGATCATCATGTCAAGTACGTCGATAAAACACCACTTGATTAAGATACAGTAACATTCACTGACAAATCCAGCCTTTGCCCATGAACGTCTTTGGGTGGGGATTACGGCTCTTCGCCTGAGTCGGGTATCCTATGAAGACGCGTATCGGCACGCATTGAAACGCAAGACATTTGGCAAGTCTCTGTTCGAAAACCAAGTCATTCGCCAAAAGATTGCGAAGATGGTCAACTTGCTCGAACCGACACAGGCATACATGGAAGAACTGGTCTATCGCTCTGTGCGCATGCCGTCCATCGAGTTCTCTCCGTTGGCAGCCATGCTGAAGGTCCAAGCAGCGCACAACCTGGAGAAAATTTCAAGAGAGTCTCAGCAAATCTTTGGGGGATTGGGGTACTCCAGGGGCGGACAAGGGCAGCGCGTCGAAATGATCAGTCGCGATGTCAGGGTTTTGGTTGTGAGCGGTGGAAGCGAGGAGATTCTGATGGACATGATTGCCAAACAGCAACGGCGATTGGCGAACCTATAACTGTATATTGTATTACCTAGTAAGCTAAGCATCAATCCACGCATTTCAACCCTTGGACGCCGGAATGGCCCCCTTAGTAAATCAACCATCTTCGCCCACTGAAATCAAAGTATTCTCATATTATCGACAATATAGACAGTAAATCAGGGTGCTAAACAAAGCTCATTCAATGATGATCGAGCAGTTTTCCGCTGCTTAGGATTAATCGTCAGAAGCATCCCCAGGAAATCCACTTTCTCCTCACCCTCAAGACACTCCATCCATCGCTCAAGCCTCTCCGGTGGACGCTAGTGTGATCTCGAATCGAAACTGGCCGCGGCGCATATATATCGCTCAAGTCAGGGTTTGGTTTGAAGTGGGTGGCCACAATGAATTTTTCATTGTGGCCAGAGAATACCGATTCCTTTTGTGGAGATTTCACCGTTTTGGTAGATCCAAAGCTTGAGAAGACGTACCCAAATGTGGTAACCGGGGTTCGGCCATGGAGGCTGATTCAATTGATTAACATATGCAACAGGAGCTCAAGTTAAACCCCTACCTGCTTGACCTGATACTGCAGTCGTTGGTGGTATATTTGAGAAGCAAGGACTTCATCCACTTCCCACTCCTGGTTATCTCCAATGAAAATTGGCTCTGGTGGCTCTATAACTTGCCCTGGCAATGGGTCATTGGCAGCACGGCTGCACTATGCAGTTTGTCAGGTGAGAACACAGGGTGTATTTGATCATGATAAATCAGACTAATCCATGCAAAGTTCTTCTATCAAGAAGTCACCAGAGCCATCTGCACTACAAGGCACTTATTTGCTTTTACCAATCCAGAGCCCTTTTGCCCTGAGTATCTGCAATATGTGGTCTACAGTTCAAGCAAAAGGGATGACTATTTTGCACGTACCATCAAACACGTCACCAATCAGCTCATCAAATACGATATTTCCGATCAAAAAGGATCCAGTCTCGACGGCCGAGACCAACGAATCCCTTTGACCGTATCACGCGCAGTCATCGACTTCATGGTTGCTGGCCTGGGTTATGTAATGAGGAGAACCAACCAGGGAAGTTAGGCCACCCTGCCGAAAAGACCTGTATTATATTGGCCATATAGACGAATATGAATTTGACCGCTCAATGCGCCTGGGGATCGGCCAAACGTGTGATGCACCAAAGCACATTTTGTCCGCTGCAGCCTATCTTGGGAATATATAACTGGTTGAACGTATGCTTGGACAGGAAGGCGTGGATTTGAATGCTAGGTGCAATATGCTTGGTCCATCATTGCGAAATACTGCCTTGAAAAGGTCATTTTGAGATTGTCAGACTGCACCTGGATAAAGGAGCAGATCCAGATGGTGGAAGTTACCCCCGCACTGAAGAGGATTATCGGACAGTAGAGAGGCGATGTGGACAGGATGTCCTTGAGCAATGTTTCCCTGATATTCTCGACTGTCCTGGCACTGCTCTTGAGGCTGCTGCTCAAAAGGCTCATAAAGAGGTTGTGCAACTTCTTCTACAGCCAGAATTTAACACATCAAGATCATCCTCCAGCTACCGAAAGGCAATCGCTTTTGCAGCTATGGGGGGAGATGCTGATATTCTGAAAATGCTTATTGGGAGTGCAGATTCCAGTACTCTCTCAGAGAGCTCACTTCAAACATACTGGAACCGTACGCTCCGATATGCAGCATTCTGTGGCAAAACAGAGACGATCCCTCTACTGCTGGATAAAGGGGCTCATATCAACAGACAGTACGAGGATGAGATTAACTTGGGCTTCAGTACTCCATTGGGACTTGCTGCTTTCAATGGCCATAATGAAACAATTTTGTTCCTCCTACAAAAGGGGGCTGATATCAATGGTGGATCCCTTCATCCAATTTACATGGCCACCTGCCGTGGCTTTGCCCGGACTGTAACGCTACTTCTGGATCAGGGGGCTGAAGTCCATCCTGTTTACTTCAGGTTCATGGAGAGGGCAGCAGAATATGGAGAAGCTGATGTTGTCCGGGTATTCTTAGAAAGAGGTTTACATCAGGTGCCTGGTCGCTTTGATAAAGGGGAATGTGCCCTGGAGATTGCTAAGTCTACTGGACATCCGCGTGTGGTGAGAGTGCTTGAAGAGTTTGGGGTCACTGAGTAATGATTCAAATACAACTCGATAATAAGGGGTTTTATTTTATGTATAGCCTATTGTAATAGAATGAATAGATGGATCTGATTAATTGGGAGTGCTTATGCCTCTGTTCCTCATCTGTATCTGAAAGCTTTTCCACATGCAGTAGCCATGACGAGGTTAATAATTGTACACAGATCAGTACTCAAGATGTCTGCGGAAGCCGATAAGTGGGAGAGACCGGAACAACACACTTGAGGGATATCAGTGAGCAGGTTGTAGGATCCAATGATGATGGCGCTAAGACTCATTTTAACATGAAGCCCTATTGTGATGGTCTCGAGCAATATGAATCTATTGGTAGACTATCTGACGAAATTTTAACATGAGGAGAGAAAGGAAACAGGCAGGGCCTGCCGATGACAGACTATCTAGTGTGTGTGCGAGGGGTTCTTGCCCTACTCCAAACAGGACAAAGCAATCAAACATGCTATGCAGCTAGCGAGCGTTCATGCTCAGTGAATGCCCTACCCAAAACAGGTCAAAGTAAGCAAACATGCTATACAGCTAGAGAGCGTCCATGCTCCGTGACAATTCCCCTGAAGCTCCTTGATCCTCCATCCTGCAATGTCTCTCTGGGGCCTCCCTGGCTTGGTTGTTTGGGGAGGGGGCATTGCATGCCTATGGCCTCGTTATCTGAGCCCGTTGGCCGTTCCGGGTAGGTCTCCCAGGCTTCCAGGGGGCCTAATTCCGGCGTAGTTAGGGCTAAGTCGATTATCGAGAGCCCTGGAGAGGTTTTGGGCCTCGTGGGTGTGTCTGGGTCATTATTGATTAGGATGTCATAGTCCTCAACAAGCTGCTCTAGGGGCCCGGCATTCATCCGAGGCCAGGCCGCCAGGCTGATTTCAGAGATATCTGAAGTGGGGATTCGGGGAATCGGAGGTATCAATGATCCGCAATTAGACGAGGTTTTATATGGAAGAATCTATTAAAACGAAAGGGTGCAATATATTCTCGTATATGATAATCTGAATGCTTGAGTGCTTGTCTATCTAAATGTGTGTACACGCTGGCCTATGTCATCGGCCAGTCGGAACTCATCTAGTCGGAACTCGTCTAGTCGGTCCGACGTTATTCCTTATCAATATCTCTCCGCACCGGCGCCAATCCTGTGCAGCTCTTTGAGCTGCGTCTTGTCTATGTACTCGTAGATAGCCTGACCTGTAGCTATCCTGTTTGTCAGTTCCTAATATATCTCCTGTTCACCTGCTTACCTGACCCTGCACCCTGATAATATAGTGGGTTGGGCTAACCTAACCCGAATATTACTATAAAGGGAAATGATTGGCATTTTGGCAGGAATGTGCGGGTATTTAAGCATAGGCCTAATGCCGGCCCGACCCGCCCAGTCTATATATTGAAGTCCAGTGCTGAATGGCCAAAGTTCTACAAGCTGCATCTTTGGTAGAGCGGAAACAACACTGTTTTATAAGGCTGGAGTGAATAGAGGAAGAACTCTGATTTGAGAAAACTATTAATCATAAGGCCTATTTATAGACAATCTGGCGGCCATCAACTAGCTACTAAAGGAAAGCATTGCGAAAGAATTTCAAAGAGACAAAAGGAATATAAAGTGCATAATGCATGCAGGCATTGGCCATAGTCAAAGGATGCTGGCTGCATAGCCGTAGTTCCCCGATCCTATCACCTCTCGGCACCTTGCCAGTCTCGGTCCGACTATTAATTCGGATCAATAGATGGCAGGCTGGCACCGTGACGCCTCCGTTTACCAGGTGAAATTTTCTTTTGATCAAATCAAGCGCACTTTAGAGCCAAGAATTCCTTTGCTTCAGACAGCTGGGAGCAACAGAGATTAGGCTGCAGCATGGCAAGATCATCGACAGTGTAGTTCCCAGTAGCGACCGCGATAATATCACTTCCCACACTCTTGGCACACTCGATATCGAGTGGCGTGTCACCCACAATGATCACATCACTGGCATGAACGCCCATGCCATAGCGCTCTTGCAATTTCAACAAGGAGTCTTGAAACAAGGACTTGCGGTCGAGGTGTGTATCCCCGAAGGAGGAAATATCAAGGTCGAAAATGTTCGTGTCAATGCCGGCCGCGTGCAGCTTCAGAAGTGCATTTGGACGCGAGTTGCCGGTAAGAAGGCCAATGCGGACTGACGGATGCATATCCTTTTGATACTCCTTGAGCCAGGATAAGGTTTCCTTTGCTCCCGGGCATTCTACCGCTGTTAATCCTTTCTTGTTGGACTCCTTAAGATACCGTGGATGTAATTGCTGGAATTTCTCGACCATCAGAGACTTGTCATCCACGCCATGGTACTCCATGATAGCATGGAACAGGCCCAGATCCGTGCGCCCGTGCAGGTTAACCGGGGTATTTCTGTGAGTGATCACTTCTCCCATGATCGCGCTGATACAAGAGAAGTAGGCATCGATGCTGAGCTCCTCAGAACGGCAGAGAGTGCCGTCAATATCAAATAAGAGAGTCAGATCCCGTCGCTCCGGTTGAGGGTGTACAAGAACTCTGAGTAACTCGCGTGAACCAGAAAACAAGGTTCGACCGTGCAAGAAACGGTGATTGTCCACGATATACCCCTGACCAGCCTTGAGCGCGACGGCAAAGGCATTCTGGAAGATGGTATCCTGCAGTTTAGGCAAGGCAGAAACCATGGATGCTGATAGTTGAATGCCATCGTCAAACCGGAAGCGAAGCAAACCCTCACTTTCATCGAACACCGGCCTTGGTACAAATGTTCCATCGTCTGCACGGAAGCTTCCGTACTTTGGACTGGTAACAAGACGGTATAGGTGCTGATCTTGCTCTCTGATGGCCTTCAGAACCCGATGGCCATCCACCAGCAGGGATTCGCCTCCCGTCTCCGATGCACTTTTGAGAAGCGACATCAGAAATCGCGGCGGTACATCCCATCCGCTTCGGTCCGTGTGGAAGAATAACTCTGTCGTTTCCATGCGCTTATTATCAGTGTCCTACATACTCATACTTCCATCCAAACTGATGGGACTAACCTTCAGAACTGTATCCTTTGCCGGCCAAATTCGGAGCGAATCGAATATGACTGACACCGCTCCCTTCAATTCTCTCATTGCGAGGTCGAACGATTTCCCCAAACTCATTAGCAAGGGAGACAAGTAACGTCTCATCACATTTTTCCACGAAAGCTATTCCGTCAGTTAAAATCGCCTTCCGTATCCCTTCAACGTCCGACGGCAAGTAGAAAATTGGAGCTGCAATGAACTGGTTGAGCACGATATCCTTTGTAATAGTAGCAGACACAGCATAGAACCTACCTTGCAAGCCTAATTTACACTGTGTCACATCCATTGTGTCAGAAACTTTGATGAAAAAATAAGACAATAAAAAAGTGTATTTCTCTTGAGGTGTCGATGGCTGTTGAACTTTTAATGATGAGATACCACCTGCTTTTATAATGCTTTGGATCCAAGCAGATGAAGAGCCCCTATGACTCGTTCTCTCTGACATGTGAGTATCTAGGTCTTTGGCACTGACCGCTTCTGATTTCTTTTTCCAGATGTACATTAGCTACGGCTGAAGCCACATAAATAGCTCATATTATAGGCACTGGAGACTTTTCAGAGTTGATCGCTAGATCGATGATCTCTGGCAACATGGTTTATCCTTGCACTTCTGCGACTGGAACGACGAGGGATTGGACTCCTTGTGCAAAAGTAATATGCACGCTCACGGGGGTCCACAAGAAGCTCGCCACCAATATACTGTACTACAATACACGTTCTCTACGCGTTCTCAAATTGGGAAACTAGTAATTACCAAAAAGTTACTATTGCAGACTCTTGTAGATCTTACGATGTACTTTTGATATTCCAATTGGAACCATAATGCACAATCCAGCTCATGTATACCGAGGGTAACCCCGGGCAATTGTAGCAATCGATGACCTGTAGAATTAAATTATAGTTTCATTCTATGTAATTAATGCCTGTGATCACGCCACCATGCCTCGAGTATTACGCTTATCGGCAGGAATAAGCCAGTGGCACATCTTCATTCAGGTAGCCTTATACAACTATCGACGTTCGCAACAACGCAAAGGAGGAGATAATATGTATTCATTGTCAGAGGCCGTGCTCCTCTCATGTTCAGCTTCTTGCCTCTTGTCTGTCTTGCAGCTCAGCGTGTGATCGCTCATCACTCTTTCTATCAAACATAGTCTCAATGTGTTCAAGGCTCTTTCCCTTTGTCTCTGGCATGAGGTAGCACACGACCACAGCCACGACTGTGGAGAACCCATATAGGAAATACGGTCCACTTGGAGAAGATCGTAGGAACAATGGTGCAGTAAGAGTGACAATGAAATTAACAATCCAATTAGCTAGAAGTTCCACAGCACATACCTTGGCCCTCAGCCTGGTCGGGATGATTTCCGAGGCGTATATTTTACCAACCTTGGTTCAGACTTCATTAGTAGGCAACCAGTTGGCGTAGTCCAAACAGCACTTACCACTGCCCAAGACCAAGAAAAGTTGGCTATAAATGTGTAGATCAGCACAATTACTACCCATTGTGCAGCCTTGGAAGTCATCCTTGCCGAACCCCCGGTAGTTTCCCCGTACTTGGCATACAGTGATCCGATTACAATGAAGGAGAATGAGCAGATTAAGCCCCCTAAGATAAGTGGTCTGCGGCGACCCCATCGGTCGATCCAGATCTGAGCTGGAATTGTACACACCAGCATCACGATACCAGATACCCCGGAGGAGAGGAAGGATGCCTTCTCCGAGGTGAAGCCGGCTTGTTGGAACATGATCGGAGCGTAGTATAAGACGACGTCAATCTAAGCAACAGTTAATAACCAGCTTCTTTTACATTATAGCAACAACAGAAGTAAAGGAGATGAAGTATTCCGCCGGTATTCGATGTAGCGGTCGCTTACCCCAGTTAATTGTTGGAAAGACATCAGAAAAACACCCAGAGCTGTTCGGCTAATATACTTGCGGTGGACGATTTCTCTCCAACTGGAGACGGCATTTTGATCCCCGGTTTGTAAACTCTTCTGAATCTCTTCCAGCTCGACGTCCACGGCAGGTGGTATCCGCAACTGCAATAACACCCTTTTCGCGTCGTCGCTTCGACCGGCTTGGACCAGCCACCTCGGTGAAAAGGGTATGAACAGCACTCCAGCGCAAAATATGGCTGCCATAGCGGCTTGCACAATAAACGGCGTCCTCCAGGCGAGACTGCCAGAGAGGCTGTGCGTTCCATAGGCGATAAAGTACCCGGTCATGACTCCAGTTACCACAAAAAGCTGTAATAGACAAGCAGTGACTCCACGGATATCCGCCGTGGCAATCTCAACCAAGTATACTGTAGCCATCGAAATCGTCTGACCCATTCCCAACCCTGTTATCAAACGAGCGATAATGAGAGAGGCGAAGTTGGGTGAAACGGCTGAAACGACCGTACCAATCAAGAATAGAATACCACCGATGAAAATTCCATATTTGCGAGAGATGCGGTCAGAGATGTCGCCACTTGCCAAAGAGGAGATCGACGAAGAGAGCAGAATGCAGGCCACATAAACCCCTTGTTGCATAGATGATAGATCGCCGATGGATGCACTGAACTGCTCCATTTGACTGATGACACCGATCGAACCTAGAGCATCCAACAACACCTTAGTACAGTGTCATCGCCTTCAGTGTTTCTGGGATTAGTATTTGGCGGTACAAACTTACCTGTGTCGAGACCGTATAAAAGGCCCGTCAATGAGATATAACTTGCAATGAGCAGTATCTTGCTTCTTGGAGAAAACATATGGACGTTGGTCACAGCATTGGTGAAAATTGCCATGTTTGAGGAAGATTGTAGTCTTGAATGTGTTCTTCTTTTTCTTACTCTCCTGCTTATTTTATCGACCTTTATCCCTGAGCTGGATTTGAATGCCTGCAATATCCCTAGCATTCCTAGCGATCTGCGCGGTGATCTGCGCATTGATCTGCATTGGTGATCTTTACAGTGATCAATTCCTTTTTCTCTTGTGTTAGAGCAATTGCCTACAACAATCTATAGCGGCCAAATTGCAATAACTAAAATATTCAATTTTTGATTGCTAGGAAATTGATATTTCTTTTATTTAGCCCCTGGGTAGTACACCGCCTTTTTCAAGCTCATTTTTATCACCATAATCATCATGAATAAGATATCTAAAGAAGAGCGAATGAAACCAGCTATTGAGGCTTTTCATAGAGGCCAATATCTATCGAAAACTGCCTGTGCAACTGCATTTGATGTGCCTAAAAAGTGTCACGGAGCGCAGGCGCTCGCCAGCGGCATGATATGTTTGACTACTTTGGCCTGTTTGGGTATAGGGCAGGAACCCCTTTGCACACACACTAGATAACTCAGCGCTGGCAGGCTCAGCTTCTTTCCTTCGTCAGATAGTCTACCAATAGACTTCTATTGCTCGAGACCGTCACAAAAAGAAAGCATTGTGAAAGAAGTTCAAAGAGACAAAAAGAATACGAAGTGCATAATGCATGTAGGCATTGGCCCTAGTCAAAGGATGCTGACTGCATAGCCGTAGTTCCCCGATCCTATCATCTCTCCATCATATCCGCCGTAGATACGATTGGGCATGGGTAGGAAGTATGTCGTAACTAGGCGGTGTATACGGAAGTAAACAGAAAGTGACTGTGATGGCCTGGTCATGTACATGCTTCCTCACGTGTCTGAAGTGGGGTTATTAGCCACGTCAATGATGGCGGCATCCTTCCCCTTCCCCTTCTTCTTCTTCTTCCCTCCTCATGTTGATTATTGTCACGGACTCGGACCAATAGATAATAACGAATTGATATTCCTATCTAAACTAGTGTAGCCATCGACGGGAATATCGAATCTGGAGAGAAAATAAAAAGAAGAGGAATATATCTACAGAAAAAACGGGGTTTTAGCTATGGGTTCTGTGACCGCGCTAAGTGCTTTCTTTGTTTGCTTGCATGGCAGCGTTTGTCAATATCAGCCACTGAGGCGGCGTTGAGGCGTTGAGGTGTCACAATTATTCTCGTCAATAGCTGTCTAGGTAGAACTCATGAGATGGATGTTCCATTATCCTAGCTGAGCACTCTATGACAAAAATCCGACACTGATTGCTGTAAGGACTGGTAATGCCGGTTGCCGCAGAAAAAGAAAAAAAAATATATAAGGCAATGCAGTGAGGATGAAATGATGCAGGGAAGATGGGCTCTTGGTATTGGTGTCTAGCCAGTGTCACCAATTCCCAGCAATATGATGTTTAGTATACTTATAGCATCTTCAGAAGAACCATACCAGGGCTGTATAGAGACGCCAAGAAAGCTTAGACATTTTAAGCATTCAAGTACCAAACTAGTGCTCCAAAATATAAACGGAAGTAGCACCGCTACCTCCCAATATCCTTAAAATACCCATAAACAGCATTCAAGACGTACATCATAAAAATGGTCATTTATGTCATCATAAAGATATGCAAGAAAAATGCAAAAGAAAAAAAAAAAATTAATTAATTAAATAAAATAAAATAAATCAACTGTCCACCACCATCCCTGCCAAAACCCCAGCACCAATCACTCCGCCATCCAAGGCCTCCCGCAAAAACACCGACTTCCCGCTCTTCTGCGGCCCTGTCCGCATAATCAGCCGGTCGATATATTGCTGACATGTTTCCTTAAAGTTCGGGTAGTTCTGAATGATGCCACCCGTATACGCAACGACCAGCTCCTCAGGACCGGATTGCCAGTCCGCTGGGGGTGGTGTGAGGACAGGGCAAAATGGAGATTGGATGGTAGAGCCCTCAGGTCCTTGTTTGGACGGATGTGCATTGCTGTTGTATTCCTGTATAGCAGCATTGGAGGTCTGCAGCAAGTTCTCCTTGCTATCAACCTTTAGTTCAATCTCACGCATGCATGCTAGCAGTCCAACAATGGCAGCGGCTATAAGACCAGCAGACCGGCGTTGGACTGTCCTGGCGATCTTGCGGAAGACTCCTGCAGACATTGCATTCCAGCTCCATTGGCTGTTTCCAGATGGGGACAGGGAGTGATTCAGTTCATTGGCAAGGTCCTGGTCTGACCGTGCATGAGCCACATTGTCAGAGATGTAACTTGTGGTAAGGGTGTAAGGTTGGAGTAGAGTAGCAGGGAGGTTGTCCTTGGGGACTCCAGCAAGATTTGTAAGATAGTCATGAAGGATGAGGCGGATGAGTTCACCGATATACTGACCTTCGATCATCTCAAATGGTTGAAATCCTGGCTGAGCACATGTCCAATCCAATTTAGCATCCCATTTGGTGATGATATCAAGCTCCTTCAACAGTGATGCTGCTCCTGAAATACTCCATTTGGTGTTTGCAATAATTTGCTCTGCGTCAGGACTAGTTGAGTGCATATGCTTGGCCTTGGATTCATGCAAGGCACTGAATTTCATGGGAATCATTACATTGCATCCTGTGTCCACAATGATACCCATGGCGACTCGACTATTGGGCAGGGATTTCACAGCATAAGCAAGTGATGCCAGCATTGCAACAGTATCATTGGTGATGGCAGCAATATTGAGTCTTGGTAAGGAGAAGAGCTTGTGACACTTTCTCAATGGCTCATCATCCTCATATAGCCGTCTCATATGCTTTTCATATCCATTCGAGATGATCTTACAAAGGTTGAGGTCAGATATGATGGCAAATCTTTTGCCCATGGGCATGAAAGTGGCTTCTGGAAGGAATTCTTGCCTATGATTGATTAGTTAATAGGATCAGGGCCATGATCAAATGAGAACTCACATGATAGGAAAGCTAAAGGTGATTCCCATATCCAATTCCTTAGGAACATTACCTTTCATTGTATCTGAGGATAAACTCTCAGCTACTACTTCCGCAATGCAGTCTCCAATCCAAGAAAATAAATCTTCTGCCTTGTCTAGCTTCAAATGTTCCTGGATGGGCCATGCCCTCTCTAAGGTGCACCGTACACGTTGCCTCTGTGCTTTGTGAATTGCATCACAGAATCCCTCAGAAGCATCTGTAGAGCAAATGGTTGCATCTGCAGCTTCCCCTAGCAATTCAATAAAAGCAACTCGCAGATTGCTCCCTCCGACGTCAATTGCTAGATATTGACCAGTTTCATTCCCATTGGGCAACCTGGTTACTGGTGTCTGGTGGAACTGCTGCTCTGATGTCGATACCAGGTGATGATACACAGTAGAAAAGCGCCGTGCGAGCTTGTACAGGATGGCCTCGTCAAGCAAAAGGGGAGACAGGAACTCATCTACCATCTGGTGATGCGCAAGATGTTCTCTTTCTGCCGGGTCTATCTCTGAGCCTTCCTCATCCTCCTCCTCATCCTCAATTGGATCTTCATCATGCAGATGTTCATGCGGTTCGTCGTTATTGGTCTCTGTGTGAACCGGGGTTATTGGTGCCATCATTCATTCCAGAACATGAATAGAGTTGGTCTCAAAATTCGAGGAAGAAGGATAGTGTAAAAATGCCGTGACAAGTATAAACAATTCAATCGCTTGCTGCGCAGTGGAATGTTTTGGATTGGGTTCAAGGAGTATGCGGAGCGGATGCAGAGTAATGGTAACTATCACAAGATGGTTGAGTTCACCAATATCAAGTTAAGCTGTCAAGAATGCACTGTATAGTAAAAGGATAGAGGAATTATTAAGTCATAGCCTGTTAAGAAATATACAATGATGCTGGTCAGTCACTGTAACTGTAAATGGGGGAACAACATTGCTGTTGATGCAATGATGCACATATGCAGTGCAATCACAATTCCACCTGGAGTAAGGGAAAAACAGGGCCTTCAATATAAGTGAAATGGATTATGAAGCAGAGGGGATTGTGGGGAAGTGTACAGTAGACCTGTCCAAAGTGGCTGTAGGTCATTTGTTGTGAGTATAGCACACGCACCAAATTAAACAATGGATGATATAGCAGGATGAATTCCTTGGCTGGTTAATGTTCAATAGAGTCAAGATTGTAAAATGAAAAAAGAAAAGGCAAGGATTGAAGCATTAATTGGATATCGCAATGGCAAAGCGGGGAAGATGTTATTATCGCTTTATCAATCAAGACCAGCCGGAGAATGGGAGCATTGCGATGTCGCTGTAGTCAAGGAAATTGAAATAAAGTAGACAGAGTAGAGTAAGGATCGGATAAGAAGAGAAAAGAGAGGAAGAGAGGATGCGAGGTAAGAAGAAGAGAAGAAGAGAAGAGAGGCGAGTTAATATGGAGAAGACGGAGGACAACAAATGCGACCTTTGATCGGCATAAGATGATGTGACACTGGACGGGCGAGTACAGTCTTAAGATTTATAACATATGTACTAGTAGAGCATAGCTGGGAATGGCTTTTATATTTGCCTACTTATGATTCTTTGCTGTCTCTTCCCAGCCTCCATCCCGATGCCACCGGGTTGTCGCAGGCCTCGGACACACTGTTGCAACACTCATCTCATCCTGTTGATTTCTATATATGGCTGAGGCCGGATGATATGTTGGTCCGAGTGACCAATCAGGGCTTGAGTTTCCCACCTATTGCGTCTTATCGCTGTCCCAAAGTAACTATGTAAGATAGCCAATAAAGCGAAGCAAATTATTACGGTATACTTTGCCAGACTTTCTGCGCTTCTCATTGATAGAAAAACCTCGGATCTAATTGGTTGAACTTAAAAAGACAAAAACGTGACCTCAAAGTCTTGGCACCACTTTCGTCGTAGTTTGTAATTTGTATGTAGTTCACACAGTGGGCAGAAGCCAGAATCTGGGCTCTCTGCAAGACTCAGGGGCTCCCCCCGGGGCTCATGTGGCGGCTCCAGGAAGCAGAAGTTTTCGACGCAGAGCTAAAAGGGGTTGTGGAAGCCCTTCAAGAAGCAGTAAGGCAGACAGCAAGGACCCAGTCACCATTTACCATCCTGCTGGACTCCCAAGCGGCCATAGCCCGCCTGGGACACTCACACACCAGAGTAGGCCCAGCCGCCCAGGACAGACTGCAGCACTAGAAGCAGTCAACCTGGCCCAGGTGCTGGTCAACCGGGGACAGACAGTGGCCATCCAATGAGCAGGCAGACCAGGCAGCAAAGGCAGCAGCAAGTTACATTAGTAGACATCACACTAGTACCCTCATCCAATCCAGGAGACGATTGAGGATATCATGCCCCAGCTTGGTGAGTACTTGAGGCCGGCAGATAACTTTCAGCCTCTTGTCCCTATGAGTTCCTGAGGTAAGACCCCCTTTGTTAGGACACAAAGCCGCATGGCGGACTTATACGTCTCTTTGTCATACTTATACACACATGTAACTAGTTATCTAAAATCTATTTATATAGGCCTATGGAGCATATATAAATCTATCTATATTCAAAATATGAGGCCCATAGCCCCCTCGTTGGGTAATTATCCACTCTATTTAACGATGTGACGGTTAGCAGGCGGCCGTTTTAGGAGTCCTGCTAACCAACTCCCGTCTTGGTATCAGGTGAGCGTATTCCCACGGCCACGGATTTCATGTTCCTTGACACTCTCACTGCGGTCTCTGCGGAGGAGCCGTTTATGTCCCTCCCCTCAACCATCATGTTCTCTCCAGTCATAAGTCCCATCATGCTGACTGTGTCCTTCTCTGCTTCCATCCTTCCTCCCTCCCATGAACATCTCTTGCAGTGCTTCCCATCCTTTCAAAGTCCGTCCTCATCCATGAAACTGCTGTTACCCTCACCTTCTTTATCTCCTACTTCAGGCTTTCCTTTGTTTGCCAGTTCCCTGCAGGCTATGTTGACCATGGCGGCTGTGACGGCTTAGAACCTCAAGGCCGCCCCAGTGACTGATATCGACAAACGCCGCCATCCAAGCAGACAAAGAAAGCACTTAGCGCGGTTACTCAACCCATCGATAAAACCCCTTTTTTCCCTGTAGATAGATCCCACTTCTTCTTTCCTCTCCAGATTCGATATTCTCGTCGATGGCTACAATAGTTTAGATAGGAATTCAGTTCGTTGGTATCTACTATTCCGAGCCCGTGATACCAGGTCTCTGGTAGTACGCCGTACGATACTCATGTGGGGTTCCAGGGTTGATATAGCTGCCAGTTTGAGCAAAAATGTTGGAAGATGGATCTCTGCTCCCCAGTTATGAAGGAAAGGGGAAGGATGGAACGGCCCGAACCTGGTGGACAGCTGAGACGATCTGATCGCACCCACAACAATGATTTGTACATTGGTTTGTTGATCAGTGTGCCATCTGGATATCCATACATAAGACACGTAAGACGTAAAAATGCAGAGAGGACGTTCTTGCTAATGGGATTGGTTGCCAGTTCATGAACATCATGGATACAACAACTTCTTCCCCTTCCGTTTATGATTATCCAGTCCAAGCATTGACGGAAGCCATTATGAAGGAGGAATACATTATCACAGATCGAGGTACTTGCCTCACGCTGATGGGTGGGCCTAAGTATCTCAATGATTATTGTATTCAGATCTACCAGACTGGTGAAAAAGACGACCGACTGCTTAACCCAGCCGACATAATCACCTCAAATAACCTTACAGATCCCCACAAAGAATGTATGCAAAAAAATTCGTTGAATGGGTTCATGGTCCTGAGGGACAGGGTGTTATTTGAAACTACACTCAACCAAAACAGAGATACTGTTCGTATAAGGGGTTCGCCGCAGTATTCCGTCTGACAGCTGCGATTGCGAACTTGACGACGATGAAAGAGAGGAATTGTGAGCATGCAAAAATAAAGCTTGGTTGAAGAACGGAAGGATTGTATCAATGCTGGGGCTTCCGGGATTATAGAGAAGCTGGAGAAAGGGGGGGGAAAAATGATATCGTGTTGTTATATATGCCGTGGGACAATACTTGACTTTCATAAGCTGCTTTTTCTCCCTTGTGGTACAATGAATACGTATTCTAGCCGCTTGTAATCGTAAACACCATAGATTCAACACTCAACTCAGGGGTGTCAAGAATAACTGCCTGTTTACAACTGACAACTTGACATTTTCTGTCTCTAAGGATGGCTGCGGAGCGATCATAATACCTCTACTTCTGCAACAGCGCGGCGAGGAACTACATGTTACAGAAGATCTGGTAGTACAGATCGTTGAAAACGACCATCGTGACGCGGATATCATGAAGTCCTTATTCAAATTCAGAGACAATCTTCCAATCACCAAAGAGGTTTTTAAAGCAGTAGCTTCGATTTGGTACCACGGGCATGAAGCAATGAAGATTCTACTTTGTTACAAAGGGAACAAGCTTCCAATCACAGAGAAAGTGGTTTTAGAAGCCGCAGGAAATTATGGAGTTGGGCGAAAGATATTGCAGCTGCTTTTTGATTGCAGAGGAAGTGAGCTCCCGGTCACGGAGACAGTGATAATAGCAGCGTTGGATAATTGGAACTCTAGAAAGGAGGCATTTTGGGGTTTTCCAAAACACGAGAGAAATGATTTGGAGGCATTCATAAAGAAGTTGGGTTATGAGTTCGAGGAGTACTACGACCAGGTCCAGCAGGATGGCTCAAATACTGATGAACGTATATTTAAAAGAGGCTGAAAGGATATAGCGATATAGCGATTGATCTACCAACTAACCGGGAAACATGGAGAGTGAATAAGCTCTTAAACTGCTCTATAACAACCCATCAAAGAGTCACATTCATCTATATACCATGATCATTGTAACTATAATAACTCATATCACATCTCTATTCTGCAAGCTTCTACCTCACCAAAGTGGCAGTTGTGTTTGCTCTGAAGTCGCGGCTACTAAAGCCACTCTTGAAGGTGAAGCTACCGGCGGGAATGCGCCAGTCCTGTGCAGTGACGTCCCAGTAACTAACATCCCGGCGCATCAAGTCGAAGCTGACAGTCTTGCTCTCCCCAGCGCGCAGCCAAACCTTGTCGAAGCCGCGGAGCTGGCTCGGAGGTGTGCCTGATGGCGTGGACTTAGGGAACTGGACATACAATTGCGGGGTAGCGAAGCCGTCGACAGAGCCCGTATTGGCAACCTGGGCCTCCAGAGTGATAACAATGTCCCAGAGAGCTGGATTACCACCTGGTTGAACTGGGCGCTGTGCCGGCAAAGCAGTCAGATTGCTCGGATGGTTGGCCTTGGCGACAAGCTTGGTCAGGTTGAAAGTGGTGTAGCTCAGACCAAAACCAAATTCGTAGCGGACGGGAATCTTATGGGCATCGAAATACCGGTATCCGACTTCGAGCTCCTCATCAAACCAACTTTGCCAGTCATAAGTGCCACTGGTCGCCACACCGGTCGTCAGCGGTGCGTTGTAGTCGGACTCGTTGTACGCAACGACATAGGGCAGCTTGGCTGACGGATTGACGTCGCCGTACAACAGATCCGCAATGGAATTGCCGGCCTGTTCTCCGGGGTAGTGAGCAGCGAGGATAGCAGTGACGTTGGGATGGTCGGCAAAGGGCATGACATTGACTCCAGCCGAGTGTGTAACCACCACAGTGTTGTTGCAGTAGTTGGCGACGGACTCAACCACGGCACTGCCATTCCAGTCGAACTCCAGGAATTGGCGATCCTCGCCTTCCACAGCCCACGATTTGACGAAAACCAAGCAGACATCAGGAACCTGAGGGTCTAACAACGCGGACGCCCCGTTTTCGACGACCAATGTGTTGTTCATCCACACTTGGACAATTGCGCCACCCTCCTCGGCCCGAGAGCTGATGGCATTGAGTGGTGTCGACAAGGTGCTAAACCGGCAGGAACCAGAGGATCCCGAGTTGGCCAGAACACCATATTGGTAGTTTCCACGCACGGTAGTGGCCTGGGTGATGGGGCCAGCGTCATTACCGAATATGGCAACATTGCGCATGTTCTTACGCAGGGGCAAGGCGTTTCTCTCGTTCTTCAGTAGCACGGTTGAAGCAGCACCGTGCTCACGAATCAGACTGCTGTGGTTACTGCGCACATCGCGGTTGCTCGTGCCAGTGAACTTCCAGTCATACAGCCAGGTATCCGGGGGAGAGTCGACATTCAGCGGGCCCACGGAAGCGTCGACACTGGGGTAGTTCTTGTCCTGGTTGAGCCAGTAGTACGGAGTCATGATACGAACGATCATGTCATCCAGTCGATCCACGCTCACGGTACCATTGTTCACTGCTTCTGTCAGGTTCTTGCCATAGTAAGAACCCTCAGTCCAGAGCTCTCCGTACAACGTGAAACCACCGGGCATGGTCATGTCCATTCCGCTCTCGACTGATGCAACTCCACCGTGGGTGGCACCCCAGTCGGACATGACATAGCCCTGGAATCCCAACTCATTCTTGAGAAGATGGTTCAGCACATACGAGTTTTGGCAACTGTGCGAGCCGTTAACCCGGTTGTACGAGCACATGAAACTGGCTGCACGCGCCCGAGCGGCATTGGCAAACGGCCACATATAGATCTCGTGCATTGTGCGGTCGTCCAGATTTGAGGAGACCGAGTCCTGGATGTAGGTTGTTGCGTTGGCGTCGGGGGCATAGGTAGGGTTCCGCTGTATCTCTTGTTCGTAGGCGACGAAGTGCTTTGCGTTTGCCTGGACACCGGCGTCCTGCATTCCCAGGATGGATTCTTCCATGCAAACTCCGGTCAAATAGGGATCGGCGGCAAAGCCTTCCCACGCACGTCCGCCATAGGCGCTGCGACCAAGGGGACCGCCAACAGGGCCCAAAAGAACGTGAGAGCCCTTGGCCTTGTGTTCCTTGGCCAGGGCGTAGGCTCGATCGTAGAGCAGGTTGCGGTCCCAACTAGCAGCTGCGGACACACCGCTAACGAAGACACTCGAGTAGTCACCCTGCTGAACACACTGCGGACCGTTCTGCAGACAGAGTCCACTAAAGTTCAGGCGGGGAATGGGAAGGACGTTGCCCACACAGGGACCAGGCTGGCCGGTTGCCATCCAGGCTTTCTCGTCTACCGTCAGTTGGGAGACAAAGTCCTTGGCTTTAGCCATTGCCTTCTCCCAGCCGCCATTACCTGTCGTCTTTGCTGGCGGGGATCAGCATCGGCTGAACAGAAAGGGCCGAATTCGGTCAAGTATGCACTTACGCGAAGGGTAGACGGCGGGTGAGTGGCCGTAGGGGCTAAGAATGGTGGTGTTGAGGGGCTGCACATAGCTGAAAGGTGTGCCAGTATACGAACTGGGGGCCTGGCAAGTGCTGGCACTCGCAGAGGAGGCCAGCAGCAGCCCTGTGAGGAGGGTAGCATCCACCGTCTTCATGGTGTACAATTTGTTTGTCTCTGAAGAAGAGCCCACGTCAACTGATTCTTTTTCATCAGGAATTCCTCTATTTATATTTATTTATTTATTTATTTATTTTTTTCTTCTTGGTCAACCTCTGGGGTGGTGCTGTAATTCAATATTTTATCCCCACATCAAGGTTTGCTTTCCCCGGCTCGCGTGGTGCCGAAGAGGCTCCGACTGGAAAGCCAGGGTTCGGCCTCGTACCGAGTGTCTTCCCCACAACTGAAAGGCTTAAAGGACGACGGGATGCGATAGACAAGGACCATCGAGATAGCCATGAACCACCAAGTCATAAAATGACCTCACTACCCCCACATTGCAATGCCGAAATTCTGCCGGCTGGACACATTGAACCATGAAAAATGCTCTCTTCACTCCCGCACAACATTGGTAATGTTCCTTTCGGCTAGTCCATCGTCTAGTATACTGGTTTTTGCTTTGGTTCACCATCAGACCATGAGGCATATATTCCTTCACGCCGACGACGGCAACCACAGCATATTACGACCCACAGTCAACAAAACAGTGTTATCCTCAACGGGCGCTTCCAATTGTCTGTTTCAATTCCTGTGTTGTGCGCAGGTGACCTCATCTTCATTTTGCCCTCAATTACAACCCGTTACTGCTAGGATATAGTAGTAAGCCGACAAGAGAAGGGCTAACCCGACCAACAATTCTTCTGACACATTGCAACGTGAAAAGAGGCAGTTGATAGACCTCCTTGTGTAGAAAGCAATGTATGTCTGGTTAGTCATGATTCGACATTTTCCAAACATAAAATCTCCGAGGGAATGCGGACTGCCTCGCCGGGCTTTCCAAATTGCTCAGTATTGACTTCAGCTAGTCTCAGTCGGTCTGGTCGGAACTGTCAAGCCTCCCATGGGGAAAGTTTCCTGCCGACACTCGGAGGAAATATATAGGCTGTTGTTGTTCCGCGTGGAGACCCCAGTTCGGCAACATAGTGTTAATTTAGCCCCGCGGATAAAGTTGGGGATAGTGGAGGGGGGGGGTTTATTTACCCGCTCAGAGTATGAGTATCTTGCCGTCCATTGTACACTCCCAAACTGAACTACAATTTTGTCAATGTCAAGTCCAATACCGATCGCAGCTCTAACAATACTCTTGGGCCCTATGAATCATCCAAGAGGGAATATGTTCGTATACGTACGAAAGCAGAAGCGCCCTCGTTAGGCCAAATTAGGTAGTTGGCCGGTCTGCTCGACCGACCACCCAATCAACCACTCTTTAGCCCATATTCACACCCCCTCCCCCCCCCCCCCCCCCCCCCCTCGCCTAGCGCCCGTAGTAGCCTAAACCTCAACCGATGATAATGATGCGGGGAGATTGAAATTGTGGGACATTTATGGATCGGCCTTGTATAGCATGGTGTGATGAAACACCACAGACTACCCCAAAAGAGGATCCAGACGATGGAAGGCCCCAAACGAGAGAAGTGAGGGATTTGACAATACCCATACATGGTATCGGAACAATACAGTCTTTTATGTGACAGCCATTTACACCATGTATTCTGACACGTGATTTGACTGTAATTTGTACCCTATTTTGTGGCGGTGCAGTGTAATGTATTGGCTGTTCCACTGCCATCGATGGGAAAACATGCATGCTGAATGAAGACATTAATGGGCCAATGATATGGGGATCTCTTTCATGCTTTGGGAGGCAAATTCCCCTGAGAACTGGTAAACCAACAGCAAAGGGTCAGGAATAGCAGGTGGTGTCCAGACATGGAGAGGGTGTGCTCAGGGCATGCTCAGGGCGGTATTCCTTGGAATAGTAATTGTATCTGAAGGAAGGAGAGGTTATCCAAAGGATTATGCTCTAAAATTGATGGAGGAAAATTGTCAGAGAACTGAGACTGAGGGGCCTGGCTCTGCGACATAGTGAGTGATGGAGCTCAGATCAGAAAATAATAGTATGTGAGTAGGGTCACAGAGTGTGAGTGCTTGCTATCAATATGACATGCTTGACCACTTTGGCCTGTTTGGATATAGGGCAGGAACCCCTTTGCACACACTAGGTAGTTCAGCGCTGGCAGGCCCAACTTCTTTCATTTCCTTCCTTGTGTTAGTATCTCATCAGGTAGTCTACCAATTGATTCTTATTGAACGAGACCGTCACAAGTTTATCATCAGTAGTAGAAAGTGTTATCTTTCTGTAGGGATTAGTAGAGAATATTACTGGTAAAGAGCAAGCTTATACAATGAAATGATGTTTTTATAAACCTAGACTATCAGAAGGCCTTCCAATTAACCCAGTTTGATGCCATAGGCGGCTTCTAGGATCGAACAGAGAAATGTTAGCGAAGATGATAGTATAGTACTCAGGTAAAATACATATAGTTCCCACCATATGCCGCATCAACGAGCGTTCCGACCATAATTAATCACCAAGAGCTTGAAATCTACTAACGCTGAGACGTTCTACAGTTTTCGATGCTAAATTTTTTAAATACAGACGAATCCCGTATAATTTCAGAAGAGATATGGCTACACCGTAATGTTCATGGATGTAATGGCCAGAACAGCGGTAGATTACAGTAGAAAATCAAGATGAATCATCATTTTATCCAAAACCGGAAAATCTTGGCAAAATTATGCAATTGCGGTTCGAGGTTCTAGATGTTGGAACCGGAACCGCACCATTTCGAGGCCTAAGGAGGCCTATCAGGAGGCAAGGCTGTTCGGGGACCCTAGGGCTACTCAGGCTATTTTACAGTGCCTACGGGACACTGGCATGGGTGCTAGAAAGACCCCGGGTAAGCCTGGGAGCAAGCACGGGCACAAGATGAATGGGGATTGGAAGCGATAGAAAGAATAGAACAGGCAGAAGGAGATTAGTTGGGGGGGGGCTAAGTGGTGTGACGGTCTCGAGCAATATGAATATATTGGTAGACTATCTGACAAAATTCTAACATGAGGAAAGAAAGAAAAGAGGCAGGCCTGCCGGAGACGAGCTATCTAGTGTGCGCGAGGGGTTTAAGCGATGCTCAGTGAATGTTCTACACCAAACAGGCCAAAATGATCAAACATGCTGTGCAGCTCGCTAGCGTCCATGCTCCGTGACAAGTGGCCCAACAAGTGAGGAAGACGAGGAGGTCCTGGGCCCTGGGGGGAAATGGCCCGGGCGATGAGGCCAGATCGAGGTGAGGAACAGGCAAGAACATGTGATTAAGTAGTAAACCCGAAAGGAGCGGGGGATTCTCCCCCGCCCAAGGCTCGAACAGTCTGTTATAGCCCCAGGAGCTGGATATGGACTATAAACTTGAATAAATCAATCAAATCAATCAATCAATCACCAACTACACATTTATTAGTTGTGCCAGATATGTAACGGCTCAACGCCGCATCTATACCAATATCGACAAATATCATCATGGCAAACGATGCGAGTTGATCCCTAAAGCAATTCAAATTTAGACCTCGGCAGGCCCATACCCACCCATAGGCGGGTAATGGGTAGTTCGAAGCAGATACCCATTTGACCCAAGCCCTAATCAAAATAGAAACACCTGTGACTTGCATAACTTTATGATTTTGCTAGTAATATTTAGTAATTTTCGAGTATTGTCCTTACAGCATGTAGGCTTGGAAATAACTAGTTAAAATTATCCATGACATAAGACATTACTCTATTTGCATAGCTAATAGTACTCAAAGCCATCATCCTCACGGCGAGGCTTCTTGCGGTTCCTTCCTGAGTTCCATATTTGCGTACTCTCTCGCTGTGGGATTGTAGGCAAGGGGTGATCACCATAATCATCATCATGATCAAGCTCATGGTCTACCTCACCTTCTGCCTCAGAATCATGGCTTTTGCGCCATTTCCCTAAAGCACGCTTGCTTGGTGCCATGAGCTGCACATTAGCAGGTGAGCTATCCTCCTCATTATCACTAATTGGATCAACACTATCCCGTGTCTGCTGTACATCTCTTTCCTCTTCTGCTGCTTCTCGCTCTTGCCGTGTAAGAAACTCCCATAAATATGCAAGCTGCGCCTCTTCTACCTCAAACTTAGTTGTACACATAAACATCATAAGCTCCTGAATAGTTGAGGCATTCAGGGAGCCGCGGCGGTAATGAAAAACATCACATGCAGAATTAAAGAGTCTCTCAACACCAGCACCAGTGGCAGGAATTGAGAGAACATCCCGTGCAAGACTAGCAAGTTCTGGGAACTCATCTTCATGGTCTTTCCAGAACACCCAGGGTGCAGTAGGCATTAGGCAATGGACCTACTATAGTATTAATAAAGAACCTCTTATTATGATGCAAATACTTACTGCTTCCAAGATACCGCGCAAGCTCATCATTCTGGGATGAAAATGACTCCCGAGGCTGACTAGAATTAAGAAGGAATCCAAGCTCATCATCCTGTGAGGCTGATGATTGAATATTAGAAGGCAACTGGCTAGTGAGCCTCTGTTCGTAAAGCTCAAAAAATCGCTCAAGACTCTCATGAATAATCGCACACACTAGATAGCTCGTCGTCGGCAGGCCTGCCTCTTTCCTTTCTCTCCTCATGTTAGAATTTCGTTAGATAGTCTACCAATAGATTCCTATTGCATGAGACCGTCACAGTTTCACTAACATTAACGTAATCAATCACCGAGCCGCGGATACCACCGAGCCGCGTGTTTTCCTTCCATTCTACCACTCCCTTCTTTCAACACGTCATTTACCATAAAAAATGCCACTTTCAAAAGAAAATCAAATCCAGATGGCTATTTCAGCCTATGAAAAAGGTCAATTTAAATCAAAATCACAAGCTGCCAAAGTTTTTGCAGTGCCTGAATCTACTCTTCATGAC